TGGTGGTGGCCTTGGTCCTCTTCCCCCAAAACGAAGGCGGAAAGGGATCCCACAACGGCCAAGTTTGAAGGCAGACAAATAATACATCCTATCCTGACGAAAGGTGGTCTTCACCTGCAAAACTTCTTGTCGTGACGTCGTGGTGGGCTTGGTGATGACCTCTGTCCTGCCGTCCTGGCGGCCTTGGTCTTGTAGCACAGAAATGAAAGCCTTTGGCTAATTTCTCGGGACTCCGCGCCCGCGCTTGCCTCTTTAGCACCAAAGAGGAAACCTGTTGTATTGCGCCCGCTGGCGCCCGCCTGGCCTTGGTCGTCATGGCTTGCGTCGCCCGGACCTCGCGAGGTGGGCCTGCATATAAGTCTCCACCCCTCAGGAGCCAGTCTAGGGAGGCTGCTTCCTCTCGAGGTCTTGATGTCGTCCGCCTTGCGAGGGTCTTGTGTTATCGATGCTAAAGGTGGATCGTACCAGGCCGCTGATGGAGCCACGCCAGGGCCGCAGGCAGGTAAGTCTGGGTACCCCGGTTTCCAAAACACCTAGGAACTTGTAACACCCACGATGCGGCTATATCTCCCACGTGTCGGAGCACGACTTAGAGGCATAGCCGCATAGTAGGCATGTCGCAAGAGGGGTAATCTTTACACATCCCATGTACTGAATATGAAAGGGATAAAGAGTTGGCTTACAATCGCCACTTCACACAAATACAAGTTAAACATACATCATCCAGAATACAATCAAGGTCCGACTACGGAACCAAAATAAAAGAAGACAACCCCTAATGCTAGGTCCCCGATCGCCCCGAGTGGGCTCCACTACTGATCAACTGGAACGAAACAACACAACGAACACGATCTTCATCGAGCTCCCACTTGAGCTGGGTTGCGTCATCTGCGCTGGTATCAACGACACCTGCAACTGGTTTTGGAAGTAAATTTGTGAGTCACGGGGACTCAGCAATCTCACACCCGCGAGATCAAGACTATTTAAGCTTATGGGTAGGAAAAGGGTAGTGACGTGGAGCTGCTGCAAGCACTAGCATATATGGTGCCTAACTTACGCAAACAAGAGCGAGAAGAGAAGCAAAGCACGGTCGAGAAACTATTATGATCAAGAAGTGATCCTGAAACTACTTACGTTCAAGCATAACACAAGAACCGCGTTCACTTCCCGGACTCCGCCGGAAAGAGACCATCACGGCTACACACGCGGTTGATGCATTTTAGTCAAGTTAAGTGTCGAGTTTTCTACAACCGGATATTAACAAATTCCCATATACCCATAACCGCGGGCACAACTTTCAAAAGTTCAAAACCCTGCAGGGGTGTCCCAACTTAGCCCATCACAAGCTCTCACGGTCAACGAAGGATATTCCTTCTCCCAGGAAGACCCGATCAGACTCGGAATCCCGGTTACAAGACATTTCGACAATGGTAAAACAAGACCAGCAAGACCACCCGCTATGCCGAAAAATCCCGATCGGAGCTGCACATATCTCGTTCTCAGGGCTCACCGGATAAGCTAAGCGTACATGAGCCGACGTAACCCAAGTTGCCAAGGGATGGCCCTGCACGGTGCTCTAGTTTGGACCAACACTCAGAGGAGCACTGGCCCGGGGGTTTAAAATAAAGATGACTCTTGAGTCTGCAGAACCCAAGAGAAAAAGGCTTAGGTGGCAAATGGTAAAACCAAGGTTGGGCCTTGCTGGAGGAGTTTTATTCAAGGCAAACTGTCAAGGGGTTCCCATTATAACCCAACCGTGTAAGGAACGCAAAATCAAGGAACATAACACCGGTATGACGGAAACTAGGGCGGCAAGAGTGGAACAAAACACCAGGCATAAGGCCGAGCCTTCCATCCTTTACCAAGTATATAGAAGCATTAATTAAAATAAGAGATATTGTGATATCCCAACAATATCCATGTTCCAACAAGGAACAAACTTCATCTTCACCTGCAACTATCAACGCTATAAGAGGGGCTGAGCAAGCGGTAACATAGCCAAACAACGGTTTGCTAGGCAAGGTGGGTTAGAGGCTTGACATGGCAATATGGGAGACATGATATAGCAAGTGGTAGGTATCGCGGCATAGCAATAGAGCGAGCAACTAGCAAGCAAAGATAGAAGTGATTTTGAGGGTATGTTCATCTTGCCTGAAATCCCGCAAGGAAGAAGAACGAGTCCATGAAGAAGACAAACGGACGTAGTCGAACGAATCCTCACAACTCCGGAACGAAACCGAAGCTAACAAGAGAAGCAACTCGGAAAGAAGCAAGCAACATAGTAAACAACCATCACATAAACATGGCATGATGCACAATCAAGTATGATGCATGTCCGATTTAAAGAGGCATGGCAAAGTGCACAAACAAAACTATAAGTTAAGTGGAGCTCAATATGCAACGAGTTGCATATTGACGAAACATCACATGACTTATTTAGTTCTCTCTCATTTATGTACTCAACAATATTAAATGTGGTTAAGCATGGCAAGAGGTGGAGCATAAGTAAACTAAACATTTAGCCAAGTTTAAATAAGACCGGAAATAACAAACAACAATTCTGGTAAATCCCCATATGCATTTAGCAATTTGGTGCAACAACAATTTTAAACATTTAAATGTTATTATCATGATGCGAATGACATGTGCAAGTTTTATGCAGTTTTATGAAAATGTTGACATGAACAAGATATGAAGCATTTTTTATCATGGCGGAAACGAAAGGGGTGCCACGGCAACGAATCCAAAAATGATGCCACAACAACATATCGGTTCTGGTAGCTCATGGAGATACCGATGCAAAAGAAGATGCGACGGGAGCGTGTCATGCGATGAACGGTGGGGTGCTCCCGGTTACCGGGTTCCCACGGGTGGACGGCATGGCAACGAGGAGGAACATGGAAGCAACATTTTTCTGACACGGTGCAAACACGAGCACCTCATGCATCGCAAACATTCGTTCTCGGAAGGTCATCTCGGCGGTTATACCTTTGGAGCGTGCATCCGGGGTGGTTTGGGACGCATAGTGTAGTCGTTCACGATCATCATGGGAAGTAGTGGTACTCGACGATGGTAGTGGGAGTAGTTGTTCACGACGACGGCAGTTGTACATGGCAATCGTGGACGAACTTGGAGGGTCATCGATAGTCGTTCACGGGTCTTGAGCGACGGTTGTGGTACATGTTCGGGCGGCGGTAGTGGTACACGTTTCGAAGGTGAACTTGACGAATTCGAATCCCTTCGAGGTTGTCGTGGTACTTGGGGTCTTCGGACCCGCCGGTCTCGTTCTTGCGACGTTAGTTGAACTTGACATATCCGAGGGATCTGGGTGTCGCGGTACTTGGCGTTCTTGGCGATTCCGAAGACGGCGGTAGATGTACTTGGTGTCAATATGGTCTTCGGGTACTTGACGACTCCGAACGGGGCAACAAAACATAGTCGACCTTGACGTTTCAGTGTTGTAGTGGAACAAACGTCCGTGTAGCCTTGCCGGTGTAGGTACTTGGCAGTATCCATGCGTAGAGGTACTTGGCAGTTTCATGTAGACGAACTTGAGGTACTCCGGGGCAGAGGTCGCAACGTTGCAACGATGGTCTCGGCGCATCCAGATCGAAACAAGGCCAAGTGGCCTCGAGCATCGCAGATCGAGGCAGCGGCGGGCGCTCGTCTCCTGCTCGAAGCAGAGGCTAGGCCGACGGCACAAGGCTTGGGGGCGCATGGAAGCTGAAGGACGGAGCAGGTTCGGGCGCAGGAGGAGGCTGGCGAAGCAGGCTTGGCGGCGCAGCAGGTGAGCTGGGGACTCCTGGATCGGACGCAGGACGGACCGATCTCGGCTAGACCGAGTCGAAAACGGGGCGCAGCGGCGCCGGGGTGCTGCGGATGAGGATCGACGTCAAAGATGCGCTCCTGCTGGTCGCCGGCGGCAGCAGGATGAGGTGGCGTCGGGGTTCACAGCGGTTCCAGGCCGGGCTCCACGGGAACTTCGAACGCCGGCGGAGGCTGGTCAACACGGCGGTGAGCTCTTGTTGGCTGCTGCCGCTCAAGGCGTGCTCGGACTTGGCTTCGAGACGCCGCGGGCCCCAACCGCCTGCGGATACCTACTCGAAGGAGGATGCCATGGAGATATGCTCCCCATACTCGCAACCTGATTGTATCATATCTCCAAAAATAAATACCGAACTATCGGCTCTCGTTTACCCATATAAACGACAAGTGAGCCTCTACAAAAGATCAAGCTTTGGAAAAAGCATGCACTCGTAAACTAGCTGTGTAGATATGAGTTCAACATTTGTTGATCAGTAAAGATAGATAGGTAGGACGCAGGGCTATTAACCATCCGAGGGCCTGAACCTGAATAAAACCATCATATCACCTTTCATTGAACGAGGACCTTCAAACACCACCCATCCTTCTACATTCTTCCACGATTCCATGTACTCCCTCCGTTCCGAATTACTTGTCACAGATATAGATGTATCTAGATGTATTTTAGGTCTAGATACATCCATTTCTGCGACGAGTAATTTGGAACGGAGGGAGTAGATCGTAAGATCGGTAGTGTATTAACCGTCAACACTATTTCCTTGGGCAATCTCTGCCCTATTGTATTTGGGTCATAATCCCCATGTTATTTTCATGCAACGGATGTAGATCTTGCTTAAGAAAATTGGCTGCCTGCATTGCAAAACATGATCTATATACTACATTAAGAAACAGAGGGGGCATAATGTTGCCCAAGCGCTCGCATCTGGTTTCTTCCGAAATTGTAAAAGCCAGTCATAAGTGGAACAACTCTTAGAAATCTGAACTTAGATACCAATAGCTGATCACAGTAAGAGTTGAACTCTAATTCCAATCCAGATCCGGACTAGAGGGTGCGCCGCAGTAGTGGCCTACAGGTCATAAAAAATGTTTAAATAGCTCATGATAGGCCAAGCGCTTCAACTGACCTAATAATAATCTAATAATCCATGGTGTCCGGTTCGAGAAAAACACAGAAGTTAGCTGGAGCTCTTCGATTCTGGTGCTTCCGCTGCTTCTTTGGAGAGCACAAGTGAAACAGGACAGTGATCACTTCCATAAAATCCTGCCATCATGAAAGTCCACAAATTGAATCAAGGCAAACACACAGACACCTCACATGAGAGTCATGTCACCATTGACTCTTTTGTTTTCATTTTTGACATGAGAAACAGTTAGACATACTAATGCCACAATAAACTATATGGTCAAGCAAACATTAATAAATAACTGAACCTGTTACATCTTTTATAATGATTACAGATTACATGAACACGGCTGGGAACTTGATATGATTATGTCGAGAGATTTGTCAGAACTCCAGCATGAAATGCATCATCATTTTTCCAGATGCACATACGATGTAAATCAATAGGGAATTGTACCGGTAGCAGCTTAGGGCAGTTCCAAATCTATTAGTAGCTGTTTTTTATCCTTCCATGTTATCTCAAAAGCAAATTACATACACAACTATAATTTTCTTTATTTAACATTGAATATATACAGCCAAGACATGGTCCAACCCCCTTAGTTATTTGCAGCTGATGATAGGCAAATAAAATTAGAATTTCGGAAAGACCAAAGGTAACATATCACAGTTATATAATTTATCATCACGCAAAGAAAGATGTGCAATACAAACCTTCCAGTTCAATTCCATGACCATGCATTTCACATGAAACAATTCTGTCTTTCAACCCTTCTGAAATAACAAAATAGTCAATCCGCATTCTCTTTCCTCGGTACCTGGAGAAATATTAAGCAATAAATCAGTCCATATAGAAAAAGATGAAATACGTACACTCCAGCATTAGCTGTCATATGTAGTAAATTACAAAAGAACATTGCTTATCAGCAGAACATTAATAATCAAATTCATGCTGCCAAATTCTTTTATAAGTGCCGTGCCTGAAATAAAATCAGATTGCTGAGATGGGGGATAATTTGTTAATGGTAAACATTGAGGACCACATGCTTACAAAGTAACCATATATCTATACAATAGGGATCAAATAACCCATCCAAGACATAAAAAGGAACAGCAGATATGCTTCAATCATGCAGGGTCAAATTTTGATAAGCAACTGAACACTATAATTAATAATCTAGAAGTAATACAATCATGGAAATATTTCTTACTTCCCAACTGGATTCCCAGACCAAGAGAAGCCACACTCCATGTCTTTTTCTTTGTGCAGGTATCTGTAAGCATCTACCAGCTTTCCCCTATACATCCAAATGTTAGTCCATAAGGTGGTATTCAAGACTATAAAGATTAATGCTTCTATGCAACTAACTTTAGCCTTCTATATTTCCACTAAAATGTCTTATTCACCATTCATTGGTTTATAGGTATGTTTTTCAGGCCTGTCCTATAAAATTCCAGACAAAGATGACAGTATGTGTTCTAGCTAGTTTGAACTTCATCCTTTTTGTGCGTGCAAAAACCTTGGTCCATTCTGAATTTACAATGACTAGTAAAGTACTTATAAACAAATTTAGAGGTTGTACCAGCAATATCTATATGATGATATGAGAACTTGACACTGCCCCCAGTCATGTTGAACATTTACCTTACTGAGCATTGAAACAATAATCTTTTATGTTTCCATGACCACAATTCCACAAGATTCACATTTGAGATGCTCATCATGGCACTTTTTTGTTGCTTGTCTAAATAGAGATGTTAATACGCTCCAGCTATATATCAATGTGGGGCATCAGTTGAGAGAAAACGATGATGGTTATGGTAGATTAAGCATGCAAACTAAATTAAAAGGTTGCATACATTTGTTCAAGGATGGCCTCCATTTGAGAAATGGGGGAGTGCTCTATCAAGGAGAAGGAAAAAAATGCTGAAATATGTTAGTTTACACATACTGGGACAATATATTGCCAAAGCGCTGTCTCTCTGCAAGGGTGAATCCTGGCTGTCCACAGTCCTGTAGGAATAGATGAGACATTCCTTTGCATTAATGCATAGCTAAACAGATACATCAGTAACAGGGTACTAGTCGTCCAGTAGAAGTGTAAAACTGAAAGATGCATTTAAGATAGGCTGTCAGCTGATAGGCCAGACATTGAAAATCTGTTAAGGGTGTAAGGCTCTGTCTGCCATCGCCGTTTTCTGCTGCATTAGGCCCTTAAGTGCCAAATTATGCCTTGGTGAGAAACAGATAAGTCTCACTATGGAGTGTTAAAAAAAACACGACTCTTATTGTTTATTTTCACTGAGACAATCTTACAGTCATATAAAGTATATATTAAATAATGAACAAAAGAGCACACACATAATAACTAACAAATTTATAACTATACCAACACCCAATGAATGTTAGCCTATTTGCATAAGATTGGAAGGTTTCACAAGCTTGCCACTCATGTGTAACAGAAGCAGCTAATTCTTGAAGTAGCCTATTTGCTGCTGTTGCTAGAATATATACTCTAATTTGATAAAAAGTAACTTCAACTGGCCAATTTCAAGGTGTGATTTGCAAATCCAAAAGAGGAAATATAGTACTTAGAAAGGACAAAATAAGCATTCGCTAAACTTACAATAAGTTTAAGATAGAGAAGTGAGAATTTGGCTATCCTCACAAGATAGACATTAGACTAGATGGGCCATATGGGCCAAATCATCCTATAAAAATGTCGCACCTAGGAATAGCTAACCCATTTGGATTTGCTTGATAAGCAGCAGCAGCATACAGGTGAGAGTCGAAGGATGCACAAGGGATTATGGCAAGATAAAAGTTGTTTCCAACACTTGAGTTTTGGGGAACATGAACTGGATTTACAAGAATAACCCAGAATTGCATCTTTAAAGCAAATAATACCTCTTTATTTGGAGGGATATATCCATTGAGCTTAGCATCGCTAAAAAAATCAGGATGGCTGACATCGATTTCGTCATGACTGAAAGATTTAAAAAAAGGTTACAGGGGGTTGGTTTGTGAAAAATTTATAAGAGGCTCATTCCATCTATATATTGTATAGAGAACATGAATTCCTCGAGGATGGCCACGTAAAGTAATAAAACTTCTCTCCCTTACCTTACGAATTTTCTGCTCAAAACAGATTTACTTGAAGTGCATGTTGTAATTATCGGGGATCACTGATAATATGCAGGAGGAACTACTTATCATTAAGGAGTGGGGATTTGAACCCAAGACCCCATAGACCACTGCCTTGTGTTTGCCACTAGACCACATGGATGGGCCCTAATTATGAAGTTTGGGTTGGCCATATAAAATGCAAATCCACAACTACATGTTTTATTAATCTATGTGGTTTCCAGAAGACTAAAATTAACTTATCATCAATAAATATTAAATAGTAACTTCATGCAAGAGGAAGGCATATATAATAACAACATAAAAAAACAGCAATGGGTTCTTAATTACCTAACGTTCAGGTCTCCGCACCAGATTAAGGGCTTGTCTACTTGTTGAACAAACTCCGACATTCTTTTATCCCACTTTCTTCTTCTTTGAAATGAATTTTCCTCCTCTTTCCACCCGTTGTTTGGAGCATATGTGTTTAGCAACAAGAATGATTCAAATTCCACAATGATGACACGACCGTCTGCATCATGCTTAGTAGCTGAAACAGGTAAAATACTATACCATCAGAAAGAATAATAGTTTCTGCAAAATTTAATTCCAGAAAGCACGCAAAAATTCAAAATGACCACTTTGTTTATCATGTCAGGGCAGACCAACAGCTCCGCAGCCCCACATCTGCTGCACCAGCAGGCACCTATAAGTGATTAGGAGGATAAGATCCCCTTTGAACCTAGCCAATCTGTGGATCTGGAGACAAACCTTCGATGGCTCTGGCGGTGCACACAGCCAGACAGTACAAGCGCTCCATCTCTAGGCCACTTGACCGGTATGGGCCTGGGCCTCACGGGCCAGTATAGATGGGCAACACATACAATACTCCCCCTCAAGAGGGGTGATAGGTATCTATCACTCCCATCTTGTCACACGCTAGGTTGCATTCTCTGGTTCCCAATCCTTTCAAGCAACTGCAATTTGTTGCCATGAACTCATATGCTCTATCTTGATAATCATAGCATCTAGCTTTTCTTCGATAATAATTTGTCTAGCTCCAAATGTTTGGTTCTATCATGTTGAACCGGAGATTTTGCTATATGGATTGCCGACTTGTTGTCACACCTTCTAATAGGTTCATTCATGCAACAGGTCTTCAATATCTTCAGCCCTGCTAATAGGTTCCTCATTCATAACTCACTCTATCCCTGAGACATGGCTCTGTATTCAGCCTCTGCAGTAACAACAAGTTGTTTCTTGCTTCTCCAAGACACTAGATTTCCTCCTACAAAAACACAATGATCTGAAGTTGATCTCCTGTCATCCAGGCAGCTAGCCCAATCAGCATCAAGGTAACCATCTACAAGAAGGTGTTCATGACTCTTGAACAACACTCCTTTCCCAGGAGTACCTTTCAAGTATCTCAAGATTCTATATACCATCTACTGTTGGAATTGTGTCGAATATATTGTACAAGGTAGGTTACAGTTGGACAGTGTCTAGATAAAGTAGGAGTCGTGTCCTAATAGGACACCTACATCCTAGGCCTCTTATATAATGCGGGGATAGACACACGATGTAACCTATACCAACATAATAGCACAGACATGGGAGCGGTAGTGTGTGCTGGCATCCGGGTGGCCAGGGTGCGGTATTGTGACAGTGTCATGGGGAGGAGCGCCCATAGTCAAGCCCTAGGGATGTAGCCGAGTTCGGTGAACCCCGTTAACAAATCCCAGTGTCATGCCGTGTGATTGTTTGGTCCTCGGATGATAGATGATGCATCTCGCATTATTCTTTCAAGTGGTATCAGAGCTACGTTATTTGGAGGTCGTGGATTGTTGATCCAGAGGAAGAGACGAAGGAAATCGTGGAAGTGGTCGGTTTGATCTGGGTAATGTCGAACGATCAAGAGCAATGCTTGGAAAGATCGAAGTTGACGAGAAGCACTGGATTGATGGGAACTCACAAGTGTGCCAGCAATTGGGAGCAGCGGGTCGATTGATCAATTGCACCTGCAGCAAGCGACTGCATACAACAACGACAGCAACCAGATCAGATCGTGGTTCTTTTCAGAGATTGAATCGAAGCCAAGGGGCAGGCCGAACTAGGTCAGACGTAGGTGCAAGCTGGTCCATGAGGGCTGAAGCCCAGGTGAGGCCAGCGCTGCATGAATCGGGAGTAGAACTGAGATTTGTTTGGGATAAAAAAAGAGGACCGAGTCCTCACGTGCAACAACAGGCAAGAGGCAAAACAATCTGGCGAATACGAAAATTGCACGAGATAGTCCATTGGAGACGCAAGGCATTGGAGAAAAGCAACATATCATTTGATTTTGTGCTAAGTGTTGTTTTCCACGGGTCAGGCGTACATATAAAATTCATGGTGTCGACGGATACCAGGTTCGGGTTATGGCAGACAAGGGTGAAAGATTTTTTGGTACAACAGAGATACTTGAATGGGTTGCAGGATGTCAAGCCATCTAAGATGGAAATATCATGTGAAGGATGAAAATTTGCGGAGGATGATTTGGCAGCCTGGAATAAACTCAAGTCCAATGTACATGAAAGTTTGATGCATGGACGAATTCAAGGTGGTGGAGAATATTTGCCAAGGTGGAGTTTATTCGAATTGTGTCGAATATATTATACAAGGTAGGTTACAGTTGGACTTTGAGTTGGACAGTGTCTAGATAAAGTAGGACTCGTACCCTCATAGGACACTTGTATCGTAGGCCTCTTATATAATGCGAGGGTAGACCCACGATGTAACCTATGCCAACATAATAGCACATACACGCAGGGGGAGCCGGCGGTATGTGCCAGCGTCCAGGTGGCCGAGGTGCAGTATTGTGACGGTGTCATGAGGAGTGCCCATAGGCCTCGGGGGTGTAGCCGAGTTTGCTGAACCTCGTTAACAAATCTCGGTGCCGTGCCTTGTGTGATTGCTTGGTGCTCGGATGATCGACTATGTGTCTCGGATTATTCTAACATCTACAACAAGGTGTCCAAGGTATACTTTCTTTGAGAAAGAGATATTCCTTTTCCAGACCTAGCCACTTCTATACCAAGGAAGTACTTGAGTCGACCACGATCTTTAACTTCAAAGGCCTTACTCAGACACCTCTTTAACCTTGCTATCTCTAGTCATCATCACCAGTGACAATGATATCATTTACACAGACTGCAAGCATGGTTATGTTTCCTTTTAGAGTGTCTATAAAACAATGTATGGTCACCATTGCATTGTCACATACTGCCCATCTAAACTTTCAAACCAAGATCTTGGAGACTACTTCAGTCGCAAAGAGTTTTCTTTAGCCTGCATACCTCGTCAACTGTTTCAAAAGTCAAGAACCCAGGTGGGATCTCCATGTAGACCTCCTCCTACAAGTCCCCATGCAGGAAAGCATTCTTCACATCAAGTTGATGTAAAGACATTCTTCACATCAATGTTCATCTTCGCTACTAGAGCAAAGGTCTCATCATAGTCAATGTCGTAGGTCTGGCTGTACCCCCTTGCTAAAAGCCTCGCTTTGTACCATTCAATATTTCCTTCTGCATTCTGCTTCACAGTGTATGTTCACTTGTAGTTGACCACCTTTTTTCTTGTTGGAAGAGGTGTTAGTACCCATGTCTTGTTCTTACACAGAGTCTCCAACTCCACCATGGCCATACGCCATTTTGAGTTCTCCTTTGTCTTCTACCAGTCAGTCAGAATTGACACAGACTAAAGAGAAGCAACAAATGCTTGCTGGAGCTAGTGCTTCATAGGAAACATAGTTTCCAATATCATTGACATTGAACCCATACCGTTTATTTGGTATCCCTGTTGTTGTTCGAGTAGTTCTCCTCAAAAGCAATTTGCCCATCGATTGACCCTTCTAGTCATCATGATCCCCATCAGAGGAGATGGAAGTCACATCAGTACTACCCTGTTGTTTCATCAATGGATGATCTTGCTCCCTCGGATGTGCAACACCATTACCATGCTTCCATGAATACACCTTGAGCTGCTCCTCTTGCGTGCGACTGTGTGAAATTGGTGTTGATGCTTTTTTTGTGCGCATTGGTGTGCAGGATTAGGTTGTTGCTCTTCAGATGTGCCTTCCGAGTTACAGTTGGCGGATTTCTTTACGAAGGCCCAAACTAAGTGTTGTTGATCCACCTGGGTTTTTTTTTGTGTGTGTGTGTGGGGGGGGGGGTAGCCGTGTACCCCTTTGTATTTCCCTGTTCTATAAGGGGTTTTCTGCATATTGTACTGCACATGTACGTGTATATATACTGGCCTATGGCCACATGGAAATACAAGTTACATATTTCCTAACACTTACCACCCTTACCAAATTAAATCCAATGACATAATCACAAAAATATAACATGCCGAACAGAATGTCCCACTAGAGTAGAGCATGCGACATTTCAAAATATAGTGTAACAGGGGAGACAGCTACTCAACCTCTCCAAACCAAACTTACATGTTCTATCCAAGTTGAATGACACTTTCTTTGGTTCAAACTTCTTCTTCATAAACACAGCTGTGCCTGCATATTTTGAATCTGAAAGGGACCACCACACACGGTAGTCTTTGAAAGGTGAGCTCGACAAAGCACGCAGCACTGTCTGCATGACATCAAGAAGTAATTGTAGAATTACTTAGTTAAGCACAACTAATGCAACTGCTGTAACAACCTACGCTGAAAAGAGAAAACAGATGGAAACTAAGTTGAAATTTATTCATAATTGTTTCCTGCTAAATACACAGTCACCACAACACAGCAATGCTTCAGGATGCAACTGATACAAATCAAAGTCCAATTTTACACAATCTAGAGTAATTTTTTCAAAAAATAGATATACTCTTGCAAAACTATCAGAAATCACCCTTTTAAGAAGCATTTTCAATAGACTACACATGTATCACAAAAACAGAGTTTTTACAAAGCCATTTCAAGGAACTACACATCTTATCCATAATGCGGAAATCTAATTTCAGCCAGAACCAATGGATCTGACATAAGGGATCCACTTTCCATAACTACAGGGTACAGGGCTACTCCCTTAGTATTACCTGTTTTTCTTCGCGTGACGACGTTGTGTCGTCTTTTAGCTCACTAGGATTTTTAGGTGCCCCTTTGGAACCAGCTGCTGGCATCCGCACTTCCTGGCAAGTGGCAAAGAAGTTCAGCAAAGATCCTACTCACTGATACATACATAATATGCTTAGATTGTTAAACTAAAAAATAAAGTAGAGAACCTAACCCGAGAACAGCATAATAGTTGCGATTACTGATTAAGAGTACAAAACAAAACAACAATTTGTGGCTAGGGCAACTAAACACCCAAAAGGACAAATAATAATATTATTAGGCTGCTAAGTTGTCATAACTCATAACAACTAAAGGTATTGGAATTGAACGGAAATAAAGACCTTGGCCTGTCATTTTTACAACCCAAAAGTGGGGTTTGTTATAAACCCAGTTCTACTCTACTGCACTAAAACAAGAACCCAAGGCGGATTTGGATTTCAACTATTGAGCTGCAATTTCAAAAAGAGGCTAGGGTTAATCGATCCACCATATCCAGACATCAGAATAATGTAGAAGGACATAAGTTTTCTCAAATAATGATTCAGCTTGAGAATTACTTCATCGTATGGCCTATATTTTGTTGTAACTGTACTATTGCTGCAAATCAGCACATGGTATAGGTACGAGAACTTGTTGTAGCAGCAGATAGTGGCTAATTGAGCAACCAAATAACTGGAATTGGAACACTAGGACTGACATAAGTAACAGATAGACCAAAAACAAGTTTTTCACATTTTCTTTCCGCAATGTTGCCAACATTAATCCAGGATAAGTTGATAACAAGAAACAGGCAAGTAGATATCAGTTCACTGATTTAAGAATATTTTCATAGCATTCAGTCTGTTTCATAAAATGCTCAACACAACCTCTGCAAACACCACCCTAGCCTTTACAACCATCAACACTGCATGCTCTCTACTCTCAGTGGTACATAGCCTTGATGTATTATGAGCAAATATAGCACAGCATGCCAAACAACCAGAAAAATGCACAGCAGGAATCGTCGGTCGGCATAATCAGTCACCAGCTAGTCAGCTAAGACAACTGGCACCATCAATCTCGCAAGGGATGCAGCACGCTGGAATTGGATTAAACCCTAGATCAATCAGATGGGTCAAACCCTAGATTACCAGAATTGGATTAATCTTGCACAAAAGGACAACTAAGATGTACTCGCCCCAATGTGCTAGATGAAATGCCTGCGAGCAACGGCAGCTCCTGCATGCCACATTGCAGCACACTCGCCTAAAAATCCCTCGGCACAGCACTCGCATTGCAGGCTAAAACCAAATCTAGGGTAGCAAGCAAATCCGGACACACAGAAAGGGTGCTGAATGAAACGCTCTTTGCCTTGGCTCACCTGGACGCAGATGACGTCGGGGTCGAGGCGGGCGACGAACTGACAGAACGCGGGCCAGTCGCTCTTCATCCGGAGCAGAAGGCTGTTGGCGTTCCACGTGATGAACCTGCGTGGCTCCTCGCCGGGAGGGCCGTCCCCGCCGGCGTCGGCCGCGGTGGGGGCGCGGCCATCAACGCAGTCAGAGATCGCGGCTCCGGCGGGCCTCTTCTTGGCGGGGGATCCGTCCTTGAGTACGGGCTGGAAGAAGCGCTTCATGGCTGGCTGGTGCGGCTGCGCTCCCCGGCAGCCGCCAGCAGGGGAGGGAACACCGGAAGTGAAGTAACGACGGGCAAAATACTTTTTTTTTTGCCGATAAAGGGCGCCTTCCGATATCTATCGTAGGTAAGGCCCAAGAAGCCCAGCAGCATCTCAGCCCAAGAAGCCCAGCAACAAACCGTGCACGATGCACAGCCGCCTCCGCGACACTCTCCGTTCTTCTCGCCGGTCCTTCCTCGACGGCTCGACCCCCACCGCGCCGGCGCTGCCGCGGAGCACCTCGGACGGCATGCAAATCAGGACATCCATACACAGCGGACAGCGCGCGCCCTAATTCTATCATATCGTGCCCCAGGTAGACCTCAAACCCGTCCCCCGTCCCCATGACATGCCGAGCGTGCTGCCCCGCTCCCCCGGCAAGGTGCCGGCAGCCGGGTGGCGGCACCCTTGTTCTCCCGGCGGCTTCCCACTTCGTGCCAGGGATTCGCTGCCACCAGTACCCAAAAAGCCCTCCTCGCCTCACCTTTGCCCACGCCGCCAAACACGCCTGCAGGCTTGCTTCCACTGAGGCACGCCGCCTCCAGGTCTGTCCACCTTTCCTCCACTGGACTGGCGTGCGGACTCGGAAGATTTCTTCATGTTTCGGTAAGGAACCCTAACGTTGCTTGGATTTCTGCCTCTTCGGGTCAAAGCCAAACCTCTTCTTCCTCTCATTTAGTTACTGAAAGTCTGAAACACTATGTACCATTTTGGTTTACATTTTTCTAATAAAATGTGTTGACGCAGCTTGCAAAGCAACTGGTTTGCACAACTTGCTAAACAATGACACTATTCAGGATGAATTTGATTCTGAGAGATCGGCGTCTCCTTTCTCGGTTGCTGGATTTTTCAGCAGGATGTCATTCTGGTGGATGAATCCCTTGATGAAGAAGGGTTACAGAAAGCCTCTTGAAGAGAAAGACATACCTGCGTTGGATGTTGCAGATCAAGCAGGCACTCAGTACTCAATGTTTGTGGACAAAATCAATGCTAAGCAATCATCTCTTTTCTGGGTAATTGTTTCATGCTACAAAAGGGACATTCTGTTTTCTGGGTTCTTCGCATTGCTCAAGGTACTCACTCTATCTTCTGGTCCGTTGCTCGTAAAGGAATTTATCAATGTATCCTCAGGAAAAGAAGCTTTCAAGCATGAAGGTGTTGTTATAGCACTTGGACTTCTTCTGTCTAAATGCTTGGAGTCATTAGCCCAGAGACAGTGGTATTTTCAAACACGGAGGGTGGGAATCCAAGTGCGGTCACTCTTGTCAGCTTCTATTTACCGAAAGCAACAGAAATTATCATGCTTTGCCAGTATAAAACATTCTTCTGGAGAGATAATGAACTATCTCATAGTAGATGCGTACAGGGTTGGGGAGTTTCCTTTCTGGTTCCATCGGACATGGACTACCGGCTTCCAACTTGGCATTGCCTTGGCAGTACTATACGATGCAGTTGGTCCTGCAACAATAGCATCTGTTCTTGTTATAATGCTTACTGTTCTACTGAATGCCCCTCTGGCCAGGCAACAGCAAGATTTCCAGAAGAAACTCATGGAAGCTCAAGACATGAGGTTGAAAGCTATGTCTGAGTCTCTTGTGAACATGAAGGTCCTGAAGCTTTATGCATGGGAGGCCCACTTCAAGAGTGTTATAGAACATCTTAGGGAGTTGGAGCTAAAATGGTTGTCAGCATTCCAACTAGGAAAAGCATATACTAGTGTTGTCTTCTGGGCATCACCTGCACTTGTTTCAGCGGCAACATTTATCGCATGCTATTTTCTGGGAGTCCCACTTAATCCTAGCAATGTATTCACCTTTGTAGCTGCACTGCGCCTTGTTCAGGACCCTATCAATCATATTCCAAACGTTATTGGCTCTGTAATTCAAGCAAGGGTTGCATTCTCTCGGATAAGCAGTTTTCTTGGTGAATCTGAGCTGCCAAAGGATCAAATTTCGATGGAGCATTGTGTGTGTAGTCAGTATCCTATAGTATTCAAATCTGGCTGTTTCTCATGGGACAGCTCAGGAAATCCAAATCCGAGGAATATTAATTTGGAGGTGAAAGCAGGAACGAAGGTAGCAATCTGTGGCGAGGTTGGCTCAGGAAAATCCACTCTTTTGGCAGCTATTCTGGGAGAGGTCCCAAGGACAGAAGGAATGGTATATTTTTGCTGCTTTGTGTTTAATTTACTTTGCTAACCAATGATCATAATAATGATGTATGTTATTCTGGAACCTCCCTTTCTACCATCAACTTATTATCCATTTAGTATTGTCACATGGTTAGCATGTAGTGTACTACTTACTCTACTGTGTTGCAGCTATGAATCTAGCTTACAGTAAATGTGTTTGGGTTATACTAACAAAACTACCTTTTGTAATCTAAAGAGTGAGGTTATAACATTTTGTTCTGTCTATAGTATTGGATCAAATTATGGGCATCAAACTTTTTGTCCTCGCAGGTTGTGGCTGCAACACACTGCTCCTTAGTGTCATTTTCCAATCCCTTATTCAGAGCATGAGTGTGCCATGTTCAATGCTGCCACAAGAATCTTCGTCGGGGATTGGGACAACATTTACTATAGGAATTGAGGTGGTTAAATGGCTTCTCTGTCGTGGTTCTCGGAATCCTCAGGTTCTTACTCCACCTGCTTTGCTTATCTCGCATGCATCGCAGCCTCGCTGGCCTTGAAACCTTCCGAGTTGATCCTGCAAAGGTCCCCTTTATGTTGGAAATTTTTCGTTTTACTTGTGATTTGCAAATGCGTCTGGATGGTTGATCACTTAGCCAGCTGTGGACTCTATCATAACGCCAACTGGCCACTGTGCAACGATCATGAGAGAAATATTGATCACCTATTGGTGCGATGCAGTACCGGAGTAGTGTTTTTTTCTTGGGCTCGTCTCCTAATTTCGCACCCACCCCACAGGCAATGCTTCCCTAAAGATTGGTGGATCAACTCCTATGACATTCAACAAGCTTTTCGAGGCGATTAGAGCTGAGTGTCAACTCTAGCAAAGGGCTAGAGCTAAGGGATTGGTTGTTCCCTTCCCTTACTTTGCCTACTAGTCGCTTTGTGGTCACTTTTTGTTTGCTTTTCTGGTTGTCAGCATGTCTTTCCTATTATAACTCTTGAACCTCTAGTACCTGATCTATAATTAGTTGGAATTATTTTTTCATGAGAAATGTGCATTATGCATAGTGCTTAGTTATAACAATGACTGTGTTATTAGCTTGGTTAGTGCAATCAACAAACAGTTGCACCACCCTCCTATTCCACTAAGTGGGAGAAGACAGGTTGGAGAAAAGTTAATTTTTTGTTGTGCATGTACTTACTGTTTATGTCATAGATATCTTCAATTAATATATTTTTAAAGTAATGTCTCTTAACATGTTTAGTAAACCTGCATATGATATTTTGCAAGACAGCAAAACAGAGGTCCAAATTTGGATTTCAATTTAAGCACAAATTACTAAATATTATTGGTGCGCGTGGACTGTTACACTTTTTTTCGAGTACTAATTTCATTGCTGAACATAATTGCAGAGTCATGTTTGTGGGAAAATAGCATATGTTTCTCAGGATGCATGGATTCAAACAGGAACTTTGCAGAACATACTTTTTGGGTCTAACATGGACAAGCAAAGATATGAAGAGACTCTCCGGCGGTGTTCTTTGGTGTATGACCTTGAAAGCTTGCCTTTTGGTGACCGTACTCAAATTGGGGAAAGAGGAGTTAATCTTAGTGGAGGACAGAAGCAACGTGTCCAATTAGCTCGCGCATTGTATCATGATGCAGATATATATATCTTTTGGATGATCCTTTCAGCTGCGTTGATGCACATACTGCTTCAAGTCTTTTAAATGTAGGGGTTATTTGTTGGCATCTCAGTTTGGCTACATGAGTCTCCAATTTTTCTAAATTTTAATGATCATTCTTTTGCAGGAATATGTGATGGGAGCTTTATCTGAAAAGACAGTTCTATTAGTAACCCACCAAGTGGAGTTCCTACACGCATTTGATTCTGTTGTCGTAAGTATTGACTCTTTATTCAACTATTGGCATTTTGAGAGGTTACATGCATGTTTCATTGCCGAGATAGAGGCTCCACCAGGCTTGTGGGATGCAATTTCCTCATGTAAGGTTTCCTAGCTTTCCCTTCAAGATCCTGCAGGGGTTGAGTGTTGGGCCCAACTGACATACAGGAATCAAGCTTTCTTCCTGATCCAGTCCTTGCTAATATGCATGTTAACCCTGGGTGATTGCTGCATATTATAGGATATTTTTTTATATTAATTTTATATACTAATAAGGGTCAATCAAGTAAAATAAGTGATTATTAGTAAAAACTAAAGTATTTGCTAATATACCAGTTTTAGGATTCATGGTGTGAGTCCAGGGAAGCACACGGATCTCCTCTTATGCTTAACAAAGGGGGAGGCTAAGGGGCTTCATTACCACCTTGAATAAACAGAGTAGGCTTAGAAGTGTTTAATTGCAAGGATCAGATAATAGTGGGGTTTATAGGGCGATTTTCATTTGGCATTTGGCTATAAGCATATATTCATCCCACGTTTCATGGCTATTTTTTTCTCCCTTTCTTTATTGAGGTGGTGCTACTGGTGTTCCTGGGTAGTAACAGATTTGAAGTGATTCCTACCACCTGTCCTATTATTAAGTTGGTTGCACCTACAAAATTGCGACTTAAGTTAAATTCTGCATTAAATCATCATAAGGAAGCAACCATATGAAATTCATCACTGTATTGTGCTTTCTCAGCTATTCACAAGATACAGTTTGGTCATCCTTCGGTGCATGGGGAACTCCTACTATTTTGTTGACAGACAGTAACTTGTCTTTTGGCAGTTAATGTCCCATGGGCAGATCATGCATGCTACTTCATACCAAGAACTGCTAGTGTCTTCCAAACAATTTCAGGACCTTGTGAAAGCACATGAAGTCACTACAGACTTTCCTAATGTTAAAAGAATGGCTTATAATGTAGGCAAGCAGTTTGAGAGGAACGCCTGTGTTATTCACGGTACGGCAAAAGAATCCATCAAGTCATCAGCATCTGATCAACTAATTAAAACAGAGGGGAGAGAAATTGGTGACACTGGACTGAAGCCTTATTTAATGTATTTGGGCCAGAAAAAGGGCTACATATATGCTAGTCTTGTTGCTATTACTAACATTATTTTTGCATCTGGCAAATATTTCAGAACTCATGGCTTGCTGTTAATGTTCAAAATCCCTGTGTATGCACATTGAACCTTGTTCTGGTGTATACAGCCATTGGATTTGGTTCAATCATTTTCTTGCTATCTAGAGCTCTGTTAGTAGTTGATCTTGGTCTCCGGACATCAGGACCTCTATTTGCCCAACTACTTAGTGGCCTATTCTGTGCACCCATGTCTTTCTACCATTCCACTCCACTTGGAAGGATACTTAGCCGTGTAAGTACTAAGAACTGGTAGTACTATATGAATCTCGTTTATTTTAGTTTGACCCATGATAATTTTAAATTAGGCAGCAAGTAATAACTCTATGATGCAGGTATCATCTGACTTAAGCATCATCGATCTTGATCTTCCATTTACGATGTCCTTCAGTATTTGTGCCACACTAAATGCATATATCAATTCGAGTGTTTTGTGCTTCTTTACCTGGCAAATTTTGCTTGTTGCTGCACCTGTTATCATCATGGCTGTCAAGTTGCAGGTAAGCTTGTATAATCCCATTTACGCATGATGTAGTTTCTGTAGGCTCTTATTTACATGACCTGGTTTACTGAAATATAACATTACAGAGATACTACTTAGCCTCCTCAAAGGAATTGATGAGGATCAATGGCACTACAAAATCTCTAGTGGCCAATCATCTTGGAGAATCGATTGCAGGAGCAGTTACAATAAGAGCCTTTAAGCAAGAAGATCGTTTTTTTGCTAAAAGTTTGGATCTTATCGACAATAATGCAAGCCCATCTTTTCACTGCTTTGCTGCAACTGAATGGTTGACTCAACGTTTGGAGATAATGGGTGCTGCTATTCTTTCCTTGTCCGCACTTGTTATTACTCTTCTTCCTGCAGGAACTTATAGCCCTGGTGAGATGTGTGAAACTTTATTCGAGGGAATGCAATGTTTTGTAACCATTAGTTAACTTGCTCTTTTGCCCTTAGTGCTAACCTGTGTTTTTGTAAAGAATTTAGGTACACGATGTTGAAGATTATATTGCATTGTTTTCCCTGTCAATAAATAAAAATTATATTGCAAGTGGTTCCTTTTCTCAGAGGATTACCCTTCAGCGTATATCTCGCTAATCACCATCTCGAGCCAAACTGCCATCCCATAGCTGTGACACAGTACCATATTTTTTTTGAAAAAGGAGATAACCCTGGACTTACATAGTACTACCATCTAGTTCTGGGTTTCTTTGATGATCTTTGTTGCATGATTCATCTTTGATTTCAGTCATTTGTCTTGGTGTCTGGTGCTCCCAGCTCCTTTTCTAGCTTCACACATCTTGCTCCCTTGCTCTTCCATCCTCAAGAGGTTGCTTGATTCCAAGTAATTTTGTCGAGACGAGGTCATAACATTAATCATCCATTTCACAGCATGGCAGATTTGGAAGAACCACAACATGATTCTCTTGTTATTATCATGCATATGTAGTTCTATGTTCCTGTAATGTTTTTTCTTATAGAATTTGACATAGGTTAGTTGATCACTCTATAGAATTGCATCATTTCCTTTCCTTTTAGTAGTTGTTGAGCACATGAAATGAGAATTAGATTAAGATTAACTCATAATTATTAATGTTGGCTTATACAATTCTGCAGGTTCTGTAGGGATGTTGCTCTCTTATGGTCTGTCACTTAATATGTTATTCCTGTTCTCTATACAAAATCAATGTTCTCTTGCAAATCAAATAATCTCTGTTGAAAGGTTGAGCCAATACATGGGTATTGTAAGTGAGGCACCATATATTATGAAACAGAATCAACCACCGGATGCATGGCCCTCTGTGGGTAAGATAGAACTTGAAGGTTTGGAGGTAGGTGATGAAAAATAAATGTCTTGTTTATCGTCCATAGACATGACCAGTATGAATTTTTCATGCATTGTACATAATGCAATTGATATTTGTGTTAGCAGATAAAATATAATCAAGATGCTTCTCCAGTACTTCATGGAATTACTTGCACATTTCAAGGTGGCGACAAGATTGGGATAGTCGGTCGAACAGGAAGTGGCAAGACAAGTTTGATAAATGCAATTTTTCGTCTTGTTGAGCCTTCTGGAGGAAAGATAATCATTGATGACTACGACATCACAGAAATGGGGTTACATGACTTACGATCTCGAATTGGTCTTATCCCTCAAGATCCTATACTCTTTTATGGTTCCATAAGATATAATTTGGATCCTCAAGGGCGTTTCTCGGATGAACAAATCTGGGAAGTAGGTTTCCATATGTTGTTACTATAATTTGATTATTTTCTATTTTCCCTGTTAAAAGAATTTAGCATTCGTTCCTCAATGTTTTTTCTATGATGAAACAAGAATAGTTGAGAGAAAAGAAGATCAAAAGCAGACGCTCTCACATGCATCCATGAGTTATAATAATCAATAAATGACCTCATTATCTTTGTAAAAGATGGTGTTTTATGTTTTCAGACTACACCCCAGATGGAATGCTCCTTGGTTGTCAGTATAGAAACAATTCCTTATTTAACACTATTTTAAATTTCGCTTCCTTATTTGACACTGAATTTTTTTTCTTCCCTATATAACAATGAGTCTAAATTTTATGCCCTTTATAACACTTTCGTCCATTTTAGGCCTAAATGACACCTGAAAAGACCCTTTTGCCCCTCATGTGGTATGAGTGTGTGCGGAGCAGTAGCGCACACACATAACATCAATGCGGGGAAGTAGTGCACACACACAGGCAGTGGCAGTAACACACGCAACAGCACACACAGGCACACGCACACATGCAGCAGCACACACACCAGCACACACACACGCATAGTACACACATATGCAGCAGCACACACACCAGCACACACACACGCGTAGCACACACATATGTAGCAGCACACACACACACGCACACACGGACACAGCAGCACACACACGCAGCACGCACGCACGCACGCACGCACACAAACACGCAGCAGCACACACACGGATGCAGCAGCATACACACACAGCACGCACACACACACAAACACGCAGCAGCGCACACACACGGACGCAGCAGTACGCGTGCGCACACAATCATATCATATAAGGGGCAAAAGGGTCTTTTCAGGTGTCATTTAGGCCTAAAAGGGACGAAAGTGTTATAAAGGGCATAAAATTTAGACTCGTTGTTACATAGGGAAGAAATTATTTGCCGATGTCAAATAGGGCATAAAATTAAGCACGGTGTCAAATAAGGAATTCTCTCGTCAGTATATTACTTTCCTCTTGAGGGTTTTTCAATCATAGTTAGATAACCAGATCTTTGCACCTCTGGTTGCAATCTAGTAAATCAGTTGGTAGTGTTTGAACATTGTGATATGTTGCTGAAATTATTACGTTGAATAATTTATGGCATGGTAGCATTGAACTGCTAGCACCTTGCAAGCAGCAACACTACTGAAATATACTGCTAAAGGAAATATTTGCACTATTACACAATTTAGTACTAGTCCCCTCTTCCTAATAAACAGCTTATTTGAAAACTAAGGAAGCATTTGTGAATTAACCTTTGCCAGGTTCTAGGCAAATGTCAACTAATTGAAGCAGTTAAAGACAAGCAAGGATTGGATTCACATAGTAGGTCTTTTCAACCTCATTCTCTTTTACAGAACTTGCTGCAATTATGTCACATTTCTTTTACTTGCTTTGCCCAACAGTTGTGGAGGGAGGATCAAACTGGAGCATGGGCCAAAGGCAGTTACTTTGCTTGGCCCGTGCGCTATTGAGAAGAAACTGCATCTTGATCCTTGATGAGGCAACAGCATCCATTGATAGTGCAACTGATGCTATTATTCAGAAGATAATCAGGACGGAATTCAAGGACAGCACAGTTATCACAGTTGCACATCGGATACCAACAGTGGTGGACTGCACCTGGGTACTTGTTATTAACAACGGTATGCATGCATCTAATCAGTCTTTATGGCTTTTCATGATTGTTTTCAGGTTCGCATGTGGTGTTAAATTACAAATATTGTTTGCTGCCAACTACCAAGAGACTCTTTCAGAAAATGAATGTGCATGTGGTTCTTGCCCTCGACTCATTATTCGGTACAATCATGTTGCAGTTTGCTAGTATGGTTCCACCAGTGGTCATGAGTTGGACCCAACTCTTAAAACAACCTGCAGGTCTTATTTACATTTGTAAGTCGCACATATAGTGTATAAACAACACATTGCAGCCATAACTTTTGAGAGAAGTCCATATTACAACCCTGAACTTTTCGGTTTGTAGTCCATATTACAACCCTGAACTTTTCGGTTTGTCTAAAGATTCAATGCCAAACTCTAAAACCGGTTAAGATTCAACCCTGAACTATCAAAACCGGCTAGTATTTAACCCTTCTCTCCCTTGAATCTGGTTTTGACCCGTTGACCATCCAGTCAGCAGCCACATCAGCGTTTTGATTGTACAGGCAGAAATTGAAATTTGATGCTATTTATAGTTCCTTTGAGCCAAAATGGCTGAACATTTCCGAGAATGATCAGTATGTTATTCTATATTTTACAGAAGCTTTTCGATATTTCTGGATACTTTCATTTGTTTGGACGAAATTTGACCAAAATTGGGGCTGAAAATGTAATTTCAGGGTATTTATAAGTATTTGGCAAAAAAACTGAAACTTTCTCAGAATGATCGACATACTATTATTGATTTTACAGAATTATGTCAAAAATTTCTGGATACTTTTATTTTTTGACCAAAAAAGGGGCTGAAAATGTAATTCATGTTAATTTTAAATAAATTTGGCAAAAAACTATGAAACTTTCCCAGAATGATAGTATAATATTGTTGATTTACAAATTACTTCAAATTTTCTGGATACTTTAGTTTTTGGCTAAAATTTGACCAAAATAGGGGCTGAAAATATAATGTTTTTCAGATTATTTTTAAATCTGTTTGACAAAATAAAACTGACGTGGCTACCTACTGGACGGTCAATGGGTCAAAACCAGGCCTCCTCAGGGAAAACCAGATTCAGGGAAGAGAAGGGTTGAATCCTAGCCGGTTTTGATAGTTCAGAGTTGAATTTCAGCCGGTTTTACAATTCGGGATTGAATCTGACAAATGGAAGATTTCAGGGTTGTAATATGGAAAGACAATAGTCAAATAATGTAGAACTGACAGTACTTTTTTGGGACCAACTCTAAAATCAATTGGCAAGGGATTGTTGAAGATGGGCTCATGCATCAGTTTGAACGCCCAAAATAAATAGTTACGCATGTCCCCTGCCTCCCAACCACACCATCACCACACAGGCACACACACAGGGACTGTTGGAGACCCTTGATCTCAGAACATAGCCACGGCTGGGAGGAATTGGGGAAGAGATACAAGGGATGGAGGGGTATTGCTATACCAACATGGTAACCAGGAAGTATAACCGGGCGAGCATAGTCATGCTTAAATCCATTACTATATGGGGCACCTTCCCCATATATAGCTGCATAGAGATGAGTTGAGGTAAATGACTGCGCTATCTCATGCTTAAATCCATTTCAATATGGGGCACCATCCCCATATATAGCTTTTAGTTTAGGTCAGGTGCTAAGTAACCTACTTACTGTTCACTGAACAGGCGCAGCTGACTCAAACTGTTTTAAGTAACCTTTTCCCAATAGAAGTCTCATGTATAGCCGGAATCCTTCTCATTAGGAGCTCCCTAAAGGATAAATTCTAAGTTCTCCAAATAGTTGGTCAAAATTCTCGAACTTCTTGAATGTCAGCCAATGTGCTGTGTACTTGTGTGTGCAAATGAACTTCATCAATTTTGACAAGGTTAGCCATATCAAACGACTTCTATTTTCATCAACTTTCACGACAATCTGCTTTTGTATTGCAAAGATCAAACATGTCTTGATGAACGTATTGGTCAGAGTTCACTCCAATATATTTGAAGTATTGCATATTCTTTCTGGAAAACACCGTAGTGTCAAGATGGCATTGGATATCATTGTTCCCAAAAGCTGCAGAATTTCTAGAAATTTATCAGGAAACTGATGTGTATATTAATTTTCGTAAATTAGTGCACTACAAATTTTGGGATCATTTAATAAATTAAGGGTTTTATTCCCTATTTTTGTCAGAACCTTCATTATTTTCAGAAATCTCCATCTTATTAAAAAAATTTAAGTGTGCAATGTTACCATAATCTGGTGTGGCCTTGCGGGATAATGCAACACATATACATTTGGAGCAATTACCTGTTTATGCTAAAACCTAACAACTTATTACAAGAACTTGAGAAGTAGTAATAATATTAATAATTAAGACTCTTATCTGCTTTGATCAATCGAAAATTGCCTTGCCAGCTTGACTTTGTGGATGAACCAGTTGGTGCATAGAATTTGGTATGGAAGCAGAGCCGGCTGATATCTCTTAGTTAGAGATTGCACTGGTTGAAAACGTGCACCATGTGTAAGGGACTTGTAGCTATACAATGACTGCCCTTTATTATGTAAAGCAATGATAGCTTGACCAAATTATCTAGCGGCTTAGCCCCTTTCACATGGTATTGATATTCATAAAATTATTTGTGGCGTGCTTTGATCCTTTTTGTTTTTGTTTTTGTGAAAAGCTATGTTTTTAAGGCGGTAAGGCGAGGCGAGGCGCTGGGGGGGCGCCTCACTGCCTAAGCGCTGAGGCATAAGGCGAGGCGACGCCTTAGAGACTTGTAAGCAACAGAATTAAGTAGAATTTGGTAGGCATTAAGCAACTAGGCATACAGCCATACACACCTTGCAACTGATTGTTGTAGAGCCCCCATCCTCTTTGCACTTGCTTTTCTCCCCAACAGAATTCTGCATCAACATGAAGTCATGAACAAATATGTTAGAATAATGTATCACTTACCAGTGCACATTCCACAAAAAATAGAAATAAAAGTGAGGCAGCGAACAAAAGTGGAAAGAAAGATAGCAAGTATGAGTGCAACTGCAATCTGCAATGCATGGCATATTACATAACCATTAACCAATTCAAATGACACAAGTCCAGTAGTCCACATAAGACAAACAGAATAATAGATAATTCCAGCATAGCAAAAGGGATAAAGGTGGCCAGCTCAGCTCTCTCATGTCTCTCCACTCTCAAAGTCTCAATCAAAAGTCATCATCATCAAACTCATTGGCATTGGTGTTGTCTTCACCATCTTGGTCAACATTAGTTGGCTCTTGATCGTCATTGCTCACATCATCATCATCTTCAACGTAGTCTGAATCCTCCCCCTCCGCATTGGGCATACTGTTGCTCTTGCTTGTTGTTGCTGTACTGCAGAGGAGGAGGAGCTGCTGGAGAGGAGGAGGAACCAGATCTGCTGGAGAGGAGCCACTGAAGAGAAGGAGGGGGAGGAGTGTGTGGATTGGGGGCTGTTTCTCTCTCTCTCTTTCTCCCCTCTTACCTGTTGGCGCCAACATGATTCCAGTTTCCCGCCAAAACTCTGTTTCCCGCCTAAAACAGCTCCCCTGCCTGCCTGGCAAGCTAAGGCGTCCAAAATGGACTAAGGCAACGCCTCGGACGCCTAGGCAGACGCCTCGGACGCCTTATAGCTTAAGGCGGACGCCTTAGACACCCACCTAAGGTGAGGTGGACGCCTTGCCCTCGCAGGGCGCCCTGACGCCTAAGCGTCGCCTAGGGGACGCCTTAGGGACGCCTTGAAAACAGAGGTGAAAAGCATGCTTTGATCTGACGTCTAAGATATGTTGGGGGCTAAGACGTGATAAGAATTTTTGAAATATATATTCCCCACCTTTCTCAATCACCTTAAGCTTTGGGTAAAACTGCTGGTGTAGGCAATTCAATAAAAGTTAATCTGAAAGTGCCATTATGGCCATTAGGAGTAGAAGACCAGAAGTACACACTGTTATGAAGTGAGCCTATATTCCATCGGGCCAACAGGCCAGCACATATACATGAAGGGAAATAAGCAAAGAAGCCCCTATACAATATGATAACTACACACACAGCACAACCCTGTTCTAACACCCCCCCCCCCTCAAACTCAAGGGGGATCTTGGACACCGAGTTTGGACAGGAAAAAGCTGTGTTGGGACCGTGTCTGAGCTTTCGTCAGAAAATCAGCAAGCTGAAGCTCCGAGGGCACATACTGAGGGGCCACAATTCTGTCTTGCACCTGAGAACGAGTGTAGGAGGCATCAACACCGATGTGCTTGGTGAGCTCATGCTTAACAGGATCACGGGCAATGCTGAGTGCCCCAGTGCTGTCGGAGAGCAGAGGGGTCGGTGTAGCAGTGGAAACACCAAAATCCTGAAGAAGCCATCGTAGACAAGTAATTTCTGCAGTCACGGACGCCATAGCTCGCAGCTCAGCCTCAGCACTGGAGCGAGATACAGCATTCTGCTTCTTGGTCTTCCAGGCAATCAGGGAGGAGCCAAGAAAAACACAATAGGCAGAGAGAGAGCGGCGATCAGTGGGATCGCTGGCCCAGGTAGCATCACAGTAGGCCTGAAGCTGAAGAGAGCTGGAGCGAGGGAAGAATAAGCGACGAGTCACGGTACCACGAAGGTAACGAAGAACACGAAGAAGGTGACTGTAGTGAAGTTGAGTGGGAGCAGAGACAAACTGACTTAGAATGTGCACAACATAAGAAATGTCAGGACGAGTGATGCCTAGATAGACAAGGCTCCCAACAAGATGGCGATAGCGTGTGGGATCTGCAAGGGGTTCACCCTCACCAGGACGAAGATGGAGACCAAACTCCATAGGAGTGTCAACCGTGCGCTGATCAGTGAGGCAGGCACGAGTGAGAAGATCTTGGATGTACTTCTCTTGAGAGAGATAAATACCCTCAGGGGAAGAAATGATCTCAAGTCCAAGAAAGTAGCGAAGAGAACCCAAATCAGTCATCAAGAATTGCTCATGTAGACGTTTCTTCACAAAATCAATGAATTGGTGGTCAGCCCCTGTGATAATCATGTCTTCAACGTAGAGTAGTAAAAGGGTGCGACCGCGAGGAGAAGTGTGAATAAACAGAGCAGGATCATGAACACTAGCAGAGAACCCGATCCTTGTGATGACGGCGGAGAAACGCTCAAACCAGGTACGAGGAGCTTGTTTCAGCCCGTAAAGAGCGCGCCGAAGGCGACAGACAGTGCCATCAAAGACAGTATAGCCAGGAGGCGGCTGCATATAGACCACTTCCCGCAGCTCACCATTCAAGAAGGCATTCTTGACATCTAATTGAGAGATGGACCACTGCCGAACAGCAGCAACAGCCAAAAGAGTGCGAACAGTGGTCATGTGAGAAACAGGAGCAAAAGTCTCATCATAGTCACGACCATACTCCTGCTGGAAGCCACGCGCAACAAGACGAGCTTTGTAGCGCACGAGAGAACCATCTGAATGTGTCTTAACCTTGTAGACCCATTTGCAAGTGATGGGTCTAACGCCTGTAGGCAGGGGTACAAGGTCCCAAGTGCCTGTGCGCTCAAGAGCATGAATTTCCTCTGCCATAGCATGCTGCCATTCAGAATGAGCAGCAGCCTCACGATATGTAGACGGCTCAACAAGAGTGGTAGCAGCAACAACATAGTACGCAGGAGGCTGGAGAGTGTGGCGATCACGCAGATTATACCGAGGAGCAGGAGGGGTAGGTGGTTCTGAAGGAATGGGACCCAACAGGGAAGGAGTGGAAGTGGAAGTGGGCGCATCCGAGGGAGAAGGGTGCCGAGCACGACGGGAGTAGACAAAAGGAAGCGGAGAGAGAGGGGAAGTGGAAGGTGGCGCATCAGAGGGAGAAGGGTGTTGAGCACAACGGGAGTAGGTAAAAGGAAAAGGAGAGAGAGTGGATGGCTCAACCCGAGTAGGAGAGTCAGGAATAGAAACCTCATCCTGTGTAAGCTGAAGCTCATGAGCAAACACAGGTGAAAGGCTAGGAGTGGACCTACCAGGTGACGATAAAGGTGAAGAATCAGGTAGAGTCAAAAAAGAGAGAGGCTCGACTAACGACTCGGTTGTGGCAGTAGAAGAATGACGAGGGTAGAAGGAGCGAGACTCATCAAAAGTGACATCTTTGGAGATTCTCAGTCTTCGAGCAATAGGGTCCCAGCAACGGTAACCTTTGTGCTCCAAACTGTAGCCAAGGAAAACACATTCAACAGATTGAGCAGTCAATTTGGTGCGTTCATGAGGGTGGAGAAGAACAAAACAGGCACAACCAAACAGGCGTAGACCACTATAATCAGCTGGACCATCACCTAGATGATCAACTGGTATCCCTCCCTGAAGAGCAACAGAAGGCTGAATATTAATGAGATAAACAGCGGTAGAGACAGCCTCAGCCCAAAAGTGCGGGGGAACAGCAGAAGATAAAAGAAGAGCCCGAGCAGTCTCAAGGACGTGACGATGTTTGCGTTCAGCCACCCCATTTTGAGCGTGTGCACCAGGACAGGAATACTGAGGAAGGGTACCCTGTTCAGCAAGGAAACCACGAAGCGCACGAGATAAGTACTCGCCAGCCGAATCAGCACGAAAAACTCGAACAGAGGAATCATACTGAGTGCGAACCATGGTAGCAAACGACTTGTAAATTTGAAGCACTTGACTACGAGATGACATAAAGTAGATCCAAGTGTGGCGAGAAAAATCATCAATGAAAATTATATAATATTTGTGACCCCCTTTCGAAACAAAGGGGGCAGGACCCCATACATCAGAGTGAACAAGTTCAAAAGGTCGTTGAGAAACAGAATTACTAGAGGGATATGGAAGTTGTATCTGCTTGCCAAGCTTACAACCCATACAAGTTAGTGAACTATCACCAGATACAGACCCTAGAACACCGCTCCTAACCAAAGAAGACAAGCGGGAGCCACAAATGTGACCCAATCGATGATGCCACTGAGCGAAGGATGTGGTGGAGGTGGCAGCTAAAGCAAAAGGGGTGGTGATGTCCGACTGGCTAGAGGACGCAGCGGAAGGAAGGCGCAGCCAATCGAGCTCCCAAAGGCGCTGAGAGTCATGGCGCCGAGGACCGATCCCAACAAGAGTCCCCGTACGACGATCCTGAACACAACAAGAGTCAGAATCCAGAATAACACGACAACCCAAGTCAGTAAGTTGACCAGCAGATAGAAGTTGCATAGTCAGCTTAGGAACATGAGAAACGGCGGGAACATGAAAAGAAGACGTGGAAAGAGTCCCTCTTGCGGCAACAGAAAGAGAAGTGCCATCTGCAGTCTGAACTGTAAGAGGAGAAGGCACGGAATTGACAGCACAAAGATGATCTCTGTGTGGTGTCATGTGGAAGGAGGCCCCAGAATCAAGAATCCAGGGCAAAGATGTACCTGACGAAGAGTGCGGTGGTGGACCAGACGTCTGACCAGCAGAACCAGCAGAACCTGAGGATGGTGCAGAAGCAGTAAGGCGGCGCAGCAAGGTGAGCATCTCCTGGTGAACCTTCTCAAGGGAGCCCTCACGAAAATTAGAGGAGCCTCCCGAGTCCTTTTGAGGACGGCCACCACGGCGACCCTGTTTCCTCCTCTTGATGCACTCCGTGATCATGTGACCATCCTGCTTGCAGTAGTTGCAGAAAGCACTAGTGGAGGTTGCTGCCACCTGTGTAGAAGAGGGCACACCAGGCAGCGGTGGTGGAACGCGGGCAGCCAGGACTGCTAAAGAGGATGGCAATAAGCCCGTGCTCCGTAGGCGCACCTCCTCAGATCGCACCTCGGCAAGGGCCTCCAGAGTAGAGAGCCGAGGATGGCGTGCCAATAGCTGAGCACGACTCTGCTCGAACTCCGGCCAGAGGCGAGTGAGGAAGTCGTAGAGGCGACGAACCTCCAGCTTAGCTTGTTGCCGCACACAACACTGACATCTGCGACAAACATCAGCTCCCAGAGAGTCCAATTGGCGCCACACCGCCGACATCTCCTTGTAGAAATCATCCACAGTAGCATCTCCCTGTTGTAGTTGTTGCTCTTGACGAACAACAGAGAGATACATGGCATCCCCTGTAGACTCATAGCGATGGCGAAGGTGCTCCCACATCTGATATGCAGTGGTAAGGGCCACCACATCCATGGTGAGATCAACATCCATGCTGTTCACCAAGATAGAAGAGACTCGAGCATCATCATTTGTCCATTGCTTGTATAAGTGGAGTTGATTCTGATACTCTTCAGTGGCCTCTTCAAAAGCATCTAGCATCTCACGTTGCTTGGTTTCATCGGCATCAACAGGGAAGGCCAACTCAGTTGGAGGAGTGGGCAGCAGGGGACAAGGCAGAGCACCAGAGAGGTGCTCCCAGACCAGCTGGCCCCTCATGTGCAGCTTCATGTGCTGCACCCAGTCCCTGTAGTTCTGTCCGTTGAAGATAACAGGACATCATGGGACTGGGACAGCACCGGTGGTGGTGGAGGGCGCCATTGCAGCAGAGCAGCAACAGCAGCTCGTTGAAGACCAGCAGCAGCAGGAGGCACAGCTTGATGGCAGCAGCAGACCAGGAGGAGAAGAGCAGCAGCAGCCGCACTTTGAAGAGCAGCAGCAGCAGCTCGTTGAAGAAGAGCAGCAGCAGCAGCTCGTTGAAGAAGAGCAGCAGCAGCAGCAGAGAAGAGGAGCAGCAGTAGCAGCAGCTCGTTGAAGAGCAGCAGCAGCACGTTGAGGCGGCGGCGCCGGCCGGGAAGGACGGCGGCAGCAGCGGCCTGGAACGGCGGCGGCCTGGACCAGCAGGCGGCAGCAGCTACCAGGAAGAAGAGGGGAGAGGCTCGATGAAGAGAGGAGCGGCGGCCGGCGGCGGCCGCGGTGGCGGCGGCGGCGACCAGAGGCGGCGGCGGCGGCTGGGGAACCTAACCCTAGCTCTTATACCATGTTATGAAGTGAGCCTATATTCCATGGGGCCAACAGGCCAGCACATATACATGAAGGGAAATAAGCAAAGAAGCCCCTATACAATATGATAACTACACACACAGCACAACCCTGTTCTAACACACACAAACAGTCAAACGAATGTGGCCCGCATGAATGGTTTCCGAGAACTTCAGAAATTAATCCTGTTCTATTTTATCACATTTGTTGTTATATAAACTCTACACTTGTAGGAAAGTTATTGTATTTTAGAATTCTAGTACTCTTTCCTCAACGTCTAGTAACACCCCAAATTTGCCAAATAGGCACTGAAGTACTTTTGCCAGGTATCTGTACTAAGATTCCGTTCGCTGGGAAGGGATAATCATGGCCCTGCCTACAAACTTCTTAATGTCATGTCAACCTCCCACCCTCCTGTAACTGTAGCACAAAACAAAACTCCTATGACAGAGAGTATAACATGCTGAAATGTTGTTTCCCTAGATGTTTAACTGGTCCTTGCACTTCTTTTACCCTTGCACTTCTTTTACCCTTGCACTTCTTTTACTATTTTCTAGTATTGTTTCTCAGGGGTCATTGAGTATTTTGTTGTAGGCTAACAGTTATGTTTTTTGCAGGCAAAATGGTAGAATACGATCGACCTCACACACTGATGGAGATGGAAGGATCTTTTTTTAAGGAGCTTCTGTACGAGTACTGGCTGCAAGCATCGAAAGGAGGCTTGTAGATTGCTTGTAGATAAATGTTATCACTATCCTGAAACACATGATCTAAGGTTAAAAAAACTAATTATTAGGATTGCCCTGAATAGATATTTGTTATCCTGTGAAAAATATTATGTGGTTGAATAAACAATTTGCTTCATTTATTATCATAGACGAGATACGACATAATCGGGTGGATTTTCCTTTTGAAGCATCAAGGATATAGAACATGTTTGGCTGCAACCCTGGAGCAGAGTCGCCTTGCGTTAGACCTGCCTGGAATGTGCCAGGACGGGGAACCCCCTTCCCCTCCCTTGCGTCGCCCCTGCCCAGGG